TGCCTTCAGTTATGTCAGAAATATGTCAGAAATAATTATTTTCTTATAAATTTAAATCACAAAAATCTAGTTTCAAAATATAAATATCAACATTAGATTAAAATATGTGGCGTTCACTTAATATGGGGTGGTTTAAACGCCAATTAACTACTTATATTAATATTTTACTATTTAATTTTTCTATTTACTATTTATATAATTCAATTCCTCATTCAATTACTTGAAATAATGTTTGTTTTCTTCTTTGTTTTCGACAAATTAATTATAAATGTCTGAAAACTTTGACCAAAAAACACATAATTTAACGCTAATGTTGTCTGACTTTTATCGAAATTAGTCAATAATATTATTCTTATATTTAACTAAACCGCTATTATATTCAAAACATTCAAATGAATATAACATTTAATATATTAGCGATAAGTGATTAGATTTGTAACGCAATTATTATTATAAAAATGTAAATTTAAAACCTATTACAAAAGGAAAAGGTGTTAATTGAGTGGAAACACTCACCCACTGTATTGATGCCCACATAAACACCGGTACGACTGCCCCGAAGTGTTTGCGGATTAATACCGGCGTCGCAAATGGCCTCATAAGTGGTCTCCAAGAGGATCCTCGCCTGCGGGTCCATCGCGTCCGCCAACAGACCAAATGTGCTGAAGAAGACTGAATCAAATTTGTCGATCTCTTTTAATTTGCCACTTCTTCCCACGATTCCCGAGTTTAGGTCTATTTGTTGGCAAATATTTGCACCAAAATTTATAGTTACTATCATATAATATGAGCGCTTGAATGTGTGCTCTAACCTATAGGCCATCGTCTATCATCTTCGGTAACCATATCTATATTCTTGAACAGATTGTCCGCGTATTCGTCCATATTATCGGATTCGGGAAATCTTCCGGCGATACCACTGATGACAATGTCGTCGTTCATGTCGTATACGGGCTTTCGTCGGGTCTCCGGCCGCGCGTACTCTACAGCCGTACTCATCCCTACAATTACATTGCATTTCATTAATATAATATGTATTAATTTTAGCAATAGTTTGCCCAAAGTCTCTACAATAATCATTTTGGGCCGACGTTTGTTAAGAAACAAATAAATTAAAAAAATGATCACATAATAGGAAATGACACAAAACACGTACAATTTTCATCGATAGCTATTTCATTAAGCCATTCGTCTTTCATTTTAGTATTCATTTTATTAATGGTTTTATATTTAAATTTAACTTTTATTAATTTATAAGTTGGTTATAATTTAGAAAATCTTTCGGAGAGAAAGTTATAAATAAAACCAGAAATAATTAAAACTAAAAGTTTTTTTAAAGACTTTTCAAATGATCTTTTTCTTCAAACTTAAAACACTTAAAACACACACAGAATCTCTCAAAAAGCCTCTCAATCTCTTTCTATCAATGTTTAGCTCTAGAGCTCTGCAAACTTTGGTATAGTTTAAAATTGCCTAAAAAATTCATTTTTATATATAATATTTGTATATAATTTCTATGCACTTAATCTCTACTATTTGTACTTCAGGGCAAACGTTATTGAGAATACATTAATGATTTTTGAGACAAAACAACAAAAATGTNTAGTTTAAAATTGCCTAAAAAATTCATTTTTATATATAATATTTGTATATAATTTCTATGCACTTAATCTCTACTATTTGTACTTCAGGGCAAACGTTATTGAGAATACATTAATGATTTTTGAGACGAAACAACAAAAATGTAAATCTCTTTTTGAAACATTATATCTTAATAGCCATTGCAGTCGGAAATATAAAATTAGTTATAAAACATTTGCATTACTAATCATTATAAATATTTTATTATAAAAATCATTAATTGATTTAAAGTATTCATAATAAATAATGAAATAAAATGCATAAAATAAATACCTTCAGACCCCTCTGCGAATCTCGGATCTATGGGCGCGTTATTATTGGTATCAAAATCCATGTTTTCTATGGATTCTTACGCTTTTATATTCTTTCAATTCTGGATTTACTTCTTATTCTCGTTAAGGATTATTAACAAAAATATATTTAACTTTTTTAAACTTTTCTTCAAAATAATCGTTGCTTTAAAACTTCTGTAAAACTTTTAAGATTTCTAAACACAATTGTAATAACAAAATATAATTCTTGTTTGTTATTATTATTAAATAAAATAAATGCACAAAATTAAAACACAAACTTATTTAAATGGTAAGCAAAGAGTATTGGTATTGAATGTTAACTCTTGTGGTGAAGCGATGGTGAGAGTGGTTTGAATGGTTATATCAAGGGATAGAATCGGAGCTCAGTTTATATCCCACGAAGGGATGCATTACTTTTCCATTCACTTTCCCTTTAACTATACGTCCAGAATATAAAGAATTTTATTTATTACTACTTTCGGCAAAGCATTTTGCCTCCGAGGCGTTTGTACTGAAAGTATGAACAAAAAGTTGTTAGACTACTGGCTCTAATATACCTGAGCTTTGTATGCCAGGCGCTTGTGTGCCAATGCCTTACCTTTTCTCTTGTATAACACTTGTCTCGTATTATTATATTCTTGAATCCATTCTCTCAATTAGTAGTGTTTTTGTATAGCGATGTGTACTGTAGTGCAGATACACAAGGCTTATGGTTAAGTATTTGTATGACTGATCAGAATTACAAACTAGTTTTTTCGCTCTTGTTTTCTTGCTTTTCCAATATTCCCATCCCTTTCTCAACTTCTCTTTTATCTCACTTATTGTCAAAATATGAGTCAAATTTTATATTAAAAATAAATAGTACACTATTTATGAGTTCATAATGTGGGCCAAGAAAATGAACCTGATGTATTCCATTTGTTTAGATAGTTGTTACAAATATTGGTATTATCCAGGTAGTTGTTTTGAAGTCTGTCTCTCCCTTTCTCTCTCTCATAATTAAAAATAGATATTTTTAGACATTATTGATCATTAGATAACATGCATTTTTGACGTAAACACAATTTAATACCTATTTGTGATCAAAATAACCAATTTATGAAAGCATTACA